AGATATTCCTAAAAAAAAATATTAGAACATCCGCCACTGTATTCTCATCGCGTTGTAGCTTGTATGACGCATTAGAAAGCGGACGAATGACCGATTCTGCAAATTTCAGTTTTTCCCAAAAGTTGTCGTCTATAAAAACGAGAAGTGGCTGGGGAAAATCGAGATTGTCTTCGTACTTAGCCGTAAATTGACGAAGAGCGTTCTCAACACGCAAGAGCGATGCGAAGCACCCTAGCATGCTGTTCCAACGGGTTTCGCACAGATTAATAAAAACAAGTGATTTTTAGTATGCGCTAGATCCTAGAGCTTGGGCCCTTACTAACCACTTGAAAGACGAGGCATTCAGCGTTACCGTAGCAAGGGATGCTTGTTTTGTCAGTGTGCGAAATGACGTGTTTAAAACTGATTTAACCAAGTTGTTAATGTCGTGAGCGAAGCCGTGGATAAAGGCAATACGAGAGTGACGAAGTGCTAAAATGCGGCGCGCTCGATCACATTGCCCAGCATCATCGCGTACAACCGCTCCAATTTCACACCCTTTCGCTGTCACATCCTGCATCACAGACTCCATTTGTTCTCCAATTGCGAGACCATCGTCCGTCGATCCAGTCGAAAATAGTCCAAAAGTGAAGATAGTCCCGAAAATAGCTAGCATACACCCCAAAAGATGCATTTGGGCAACGTTTTGCCAAACGTCCGACAAAAAATTAGACGTCCACCACTGGAAGTCATCCTGTGCTTGAGAGCAACCAGCTGCTCTTCTTCTTCCACGTGACTGTATTTGTCGAGGATCCGAGTCATTTCTTTTCGTTTTGGAAGGGCGGTGGCACAGGCTCTGTTAAGAAACGTGAACTGGCGCACTGTAGAACCTTTCTCAACGAATCGGTGTGGTAAACAGTTGTCAGCTTGAAACTGGACGAGCAATCGCTCGAGCTCTTCTTGCTTCTCCTTCGTGAATATGTTGTCAAAATATACACGGATGTAGCGCTGACGCTTATCAGAGCTTGTTGTGGAGGTTTCTTCACGCTCGCTTGCCATGGAAAGCTGACGCTTGAAGCCGTTTAAAACGTCCGGTGCGACTTGAGGCAGCTGGACGCAGCCACTATTGAGAGCTTCTTGAGGTGATTTGCAAACGTAGTTGAACGTGCAGATACTACCTTGGGGCGTTCGTGTGTCACCTTCGTATTGTATGCTAAAAAAAAACAGTGTTTACCATTAGTTGTTGTCTGTTGTTCTGTTTGAATAGCCCGATATCTTGAAACTGCTGTCGCTCAAATTTGGCCCATCTCGTGCCTGGCTAGAAGTAGAGAGGGCCTCTTTGACACTGGAAGGAAGTCTGTAGCTAGTGTCTCGTATAAGGAGGGAGGGGGATTCCTCAGTGAAAGTATACAAAATCACATCCGAAAGGACGTATATGGTAACGTATACAAATGTAGCCATTCGGTTTTATTGCTCTGACATCGGCTTTATTTTCGGCTTTATCGATGTAGCCATCGGATTTATTTTGGAAATCGCCGCTGAGTGGGAGAACC